TTTCTATTTTTAGTAGAGACGGGGTCTCGCTCTTGCTCAGGCTGGTCTCGAACTCCTGAGCTCAAACGATCCGCCCGCCTCGGCCTCCCAGAGAGCTGGGATTACAGGCGTGAGCCACCGCGCCCGGCCGCAAGACGATCTTTTACTCCATCTTTCCCTCTTTCCGTGTGGGGCGCAGCTGAGAGTGGCGGTAGTGGGTGGAGGTTAGAGCAGGACCCCAGGCGGATGGCCTGGGTCGGTGCCCCCTCCTTGCACAGCCCTCTGTGTGCCACCTGCAGGAGGGGACACTGGCAGAGCAGGGTGCTTAGCCACACCTGCTTCCAGTGCTCCGGAACCTTCTCGGTAACACGTGACCCGTCCGTTTTACGGATGACATCTGGAAGCACGGGGCGGGCTCCAGCATGGCACTTACTCTGAGGTCCCGCAGAAATGTTTTAGGGGCTAAGGAAACGTGACAACTCGGGCCGGCGGAGGGGGATATAGGGGACAGCCCCTGTGCTTCTGCCCTGCTCCCCGTCTCACCAGTTGATGGCAGAAGCTCCGCGGTGCCTGGGCAGCAGGGACGGGTGGTAGATGATAGAGCCGTGGCGGGGGGCGCTAATGATCTCCATGGGAATGAACTGGCTGCAGAAGGGCAGGACGTTGAGCTCGGCTCCCAGAGCCTGGTACTTGGCCAGCACGTCCGGCAGGACCTGTCCTCGCGCCCGCCACCGGGGGAACTTGAACACCGGCACGCCGTCCTTCTCAGCCTCCAGGCCTGCGGGACGGCGGGTGACAAAGCGGCCCCTCTCTGCACCCACCCTCACGCCGCCACCTCTGCCTCCTCCCCACACCCGCTCTCCTCCCCACCCCCCTACGCCCGCCAGGCCCCGCTGGGCGACGCCGGTCTGCTCTGCCTCAACTCTGACTTCTGAGACCTCCGAGCACCCCCTCTTCCTGACCTCTGCCCGACCCCGGGTGGCCGGCGCCCATTGCTGGCCCCCCTACTGCTCTGGGACAGGCGGCTGGTCCCTGCATTCAGATTTCTGCCTTTCTGGCTGTCCCCAACTGCAGGGAGGAGGATGGGGGCGGAGGGTGGGAAAGGTTTCCTATTCTGGGAGCGCCCCCAACCTGGCTTATACACACACACACACACACACACGTCCAGTGGAGGCCCAGGCCCAGCCCGCAGGCCCCTCCTCCTGCCCAATCTCACCCTCCTCGCAGGTCTGAATCTCGGCCCTTCTGGCTCCCAAGTCCTCCTAGTGACAGCCTCTCTCTATGTCCCCCGCTCTCGAGGGGCCGCCATGGCCGCCCCCAACACCTCTGGGCTCTCTCTGCCTCTCCTCCTCCACACCTAACAAACGTCTCTTGTATTCCATCCTCTGTTCCCTCCTGGTGTGATGTGTGGCCCCAAACTGTCCCGACCCCCTCTGCCACTATGTCCTGGTCTCTGGTGACCCTGAGTGAGGGGGACACGTGTGACGTGAGCAGACCCGTGAAATGCCGCTACGGGGGGACGCCTGAGCTCAGGGTGAAGTAGGAGCCCGGCCAGGGCAGCGGTGGGTGGGTGCAGGGGTGAGGGGGTGGCATGCATCACACCGTGGGCAGGCCCGAGCCGAGGCCCCTGCATCCTGCCGGGCTGAAGCTCAGAGGCAGCGGCCCAGACCCGAGATTCTCAGACCGCGTTCCTCCTGGAACCGGGGTCCCCGGCATGACTCAGGAACTCGTCAGAAATGAGGATTCTCAGATTCCCGTCCAGTGGACCAAAATGGAAACTCTCAGGGTGGGCTGGGCGTTCTGGGTTTTAGCAGGCCCCCTTGCCACCCCGGGGCAGGCCCACCTTTGACAATGCTGAGCCCCCCGAGACCCTGCCCTGGGCTCCTTTCCAAGCATGGGTGTTGGGGTCACAGAAGCTCAGCGTGGGATCTGGGACCAGGTCGGGCTTCTGCGCGGCTCTTGTCCAGAACACGGACCCCCTCCCCACGATCAGAGGGAGAGGAGATCTCCGCTTGGCTCCAGAAGAGGCCAGCAGCCGGTCAGCCCCGGGGCAGGATCTGGGGTAGACCACTGTGGCTGCCTCCCAGCAGGGACCGATCACTCACCCAGGGGGTCGGCCTTCCCGTCCTTGTCTGGCACCGTGAACACACCCACCACCACGTGGCCCTCCTTCCTCAGGTGGCAGTAGACTTCCTGGCCGAACAGGCTCTGACCAATCACCGCAATCTTCATGGCAGCAGGTGTCGGAAGGTCTGTAACAAATATGGCGGCCGTTAGACGGGACTCGCTGGCCTCGGGTTCGAGCAGAGGCAGCTCCCGGCCCCCTGCTCTGCCCGGGGCAGCCTCCGCGGCCCTGTGGGCAGCAGGTCACTGCAGGGAGACCGCCACGGGGAGAAGGACTCGAGGAAACACACGTGCGACCCAAAGGGTCCCTAAGTGTGGAACCTCGGATGCCACGGCAGGTGAATCGGATGGGGATTGTAGAATGAGGGGGTTCCTTCTAGAAGCCCTCCAAACCGGCCTCTTCCAGTCACCGCCGCCCACCAGACACAACCGGGCTTCTCACGGCGAAGAGTGTTCATAATTTTGCCCGACGGGTATGTGTATGTGTGTGTTCCCTTCATACACATTCCTCTTGCATCAGCACAGTGACAGATGCAGCGTAAAGTCTGGAGGATTTTTCCCTCGACATTCGTGCTTGCACTGAGTTTATGCTCGTTGCCGTAGAACATTTCGTTGTGCGAACCATTCTACTCTTTTTTTTTTTTTTGAGATAGAGGGTGAGGTGGCTCATGCCTGTAATCCCAGCACTCTGGGAGGCCGAGGAGGGAGGATCGCTCGAGGTCAGGCGTTCGAGACCAGCCTGGGCAACATAGCGAGACCCCGTCTCTACTAAAAATAGAAAGAAATTAGCCAGACAACTAAAAATATATAGAAAAAAATAAGCCGGGCACGGTGGCGCATGCCTGTAGTCCCAGCTACTCGGGAGGCCGAGGCAGGAGGATCGCTTGAGCCCAGGAGTTGGAGGTTGCTGTGAGCGAGGCTGACGCCACCACACTCTAGCCCGGGCGACAGAGCAAGACTCTGTCTCAAAAAAAAAAAAAAAAAAAAGTCACTGGGTAGAGGTTTTTGATTTTCAGGGCTTTTCCATGACTGACATTACTTTTTTTCTTACCAGAATGTTCTGGGTGTTTTTTTTTCCCCTATACTGAACATGATTACTTATGGAAAAAGTAAAAGGGTATCCAAACAGAAAGATCCTTTGGCTGCAGGCAGGCAGAGTCAGAGTAGCCACGAGTGGCCCCGTCGTCACAGTCCAGGGAAGCTGAGCTTGGCAGGGACAGGAGCCCTAAGAGGGGCCTCCGCCAGGCTTGGCCTTTGGCCGCAGAAAGAGCAGGTGCCACGGGGGGGAGGGAGCCCCACGTGGGCAGTGTGGGCGGCCTCCGCCCGCTCGCTGAGTGGCTCCAGCAAGACTGTCAGGGCCTCCCAGGCCTCCCAACCCCTCCACCCGGGACCCGGCTCCTCGGGATCCAGCTTCCAGCCCTGCCCGGTCCAGCAGCCCTGCAGGAACAGCAGCTGTGGGTCGCCTGCTCTGGGGCTGTCGTCCTGGGGCCTAGGGAGGGGTGAGGCTCTAGCGGCGGGGGGAGGAGGACAGCCCAGGGCCGGGCATTCAGCCAAAAGGCATCTCATCCCCTCCCAGCTACCCTTGGCCCCTCTCCTGCAATCAGCCTGTTGGGCCTGGCACCTGGCAGAGAGGACACGTGACCCCCTTTCCCCCCCCCCGACGCACACACAGCCAGGGTCCCCTTTGCGTCACGCTCTACCTGCTGTCTACCCACAGCCCTGGGCGCAGGGGACAGCAGCCTGGCCCCCCTGAGCCTGCAGACCTCCTCTCTGGGCCTCCATATCCTTGTCCCTACAAGCAACGTCAGAGTGTGGTCTCCTCGACCTCGTGGTAAGGGGGTCACCGCTCGCAGGAACGCATAGGGTCTCCCCGGGGCCAGAATCTCGTGTCACCGCCAAGCGACCTTAGCAGGTAAGCGCTATGACGCACGTCCCTCCCAGTTTGGCAGGCAAGAAACTGAGATTCAGAACTTGCGGAACTGGGCGAGCGGGGAGGAAGCCAACGCACCTGCAAACTCACCTGGCAGTACCTGGGGGGGGGGGTCTGGCCTCGCCCAGGCAGGTGAGGAACCTGGGAGGCCCCGGGGGAGGGTCCCAGGAACCACGACGTGGGTCTGGGGTCTGCCCCTCCTGCTCACACCCGGCCAGCCGGACCCAGCGACCCGACCGGAGCTGGGAGTCCAGCCCGGCCTGGTTAGCTCTGGGGCGACCTCTCCAATCACAAGAGGCCCTGGCGCCAGGCCCCCAGAATTGGCCAATCGGAGGAGGCCTTTCCCAGTCCCCGAATGGGGTGACGGGCCCCGGGGTGGGGGGGAGGCCAGGCTGTCCCTGCAGCTCTCCCAGCCTCAGTTTCCTCTCCTGGAAGTCGGGCCAATAGCGCGCCCCTGCCCAGGTCTCAAGACCCTCCTGGCCGGGTTGCAGGCTCGGCTGCTCCCAAGAGAGTCCTGGACGCGGATCCCAAGCCCGGAGTCCGGGGGGCGAGGCTCGTGGGCCTCTCGCGGTGGAGTCTCCAGTCCCCCCTCTGAGGCCCAGGGGCAGCCCCTTCCCTCCCGCCCGGTCCTGCGCTCTCAGGGCGCGCGGGGACTCACCGGGTGCAGGCTTTGGGGACGGACGGGACTTCTGTGCGCCGCAGTCCCCGGGAGGACAGGGGGTGGCAGCCGGGAGGTGGGACCCGCCCCCGCCAATCGGCCGGCTCCGGCCAAGGCCAGCGCGGGGAGGGGCGCGGGGCGGGCGCAAGGTCACGCCGGCTGGGGGTGGGGAGGATGCGCCCTGGCGCTGTGCGCCCCGCGCACCCTCTCTGGGCCCTCTGGCATCTAAGAAGGCCACAGCAAGGCCCGCGCAGCGCGGACCTGCACGGATGCTCGCCACCTGGGGCCAGAGACCTGCAGTGGAGGCTTCTAGAATTGTCTTTGCAAAAGGCGCAGCACCCAGCAGTGCTGGTAGTTGTGAGCCAATCTGGGTTATTTCACTGGTGCACGCGCTTCTTCGCTCGTCCAAACACCTGCGTGTCCTGGGGACACAGCCACGCAAGACCCCTGCCCTCCGCCAACCTGCAGCCACCGGGAACCGTGACCCCCTGGACCGTGGCCGCCTGTCCTGGCGGGTATTGGGGCTCCCGCCTGCCCAGGGCCTACCTACCCTGCTTCCCCACAAACCCAGGTTTTCCTCTGGGCAACTCTTCTTCCTTCCTTCTCTCTCTTCCACCTGGTCCCAGGGTGCTGACTCCTCCCCTGCTTCCCCGGGGAACCTGGTCAACCCAAGCTGAGTCATCTGTCCCTCTCTGGGCCAAAGACAGGCAGGTAAAAAGAATACAGGGAATGCTACATCTGAACATTGTTTCTTTTTTCTTTTTTGAGACAGAGTCTCACTGTGTCGCCCCGGCTAGAGTGAGTGCCGTGGCGTCAGCCTCGCTCACAGCAACCTC